GCTCCTGCCCTTTCTATATATGACACTCTCATGTGCTAAGGTACAATTTTGAGTTTTCCGACTTAAATAATCCAAACTGTTTTTTTCTTTAACAAATTGATATTAATCTAAAAAAAACAGGGAATGGTTTTCAATGTTGACCATATACGTTTTAAATAATGTATATATTTTGACTTTTTTAGTGATAACACTCGTTAAATACAAAATAATTATACACTAACATGCAAAAAATCCCGCCCATTTGTAATATAACTTGAATGTATACATTTTTAGATATTAATCAAAGTTTCATGTTTTTTAACGTTTAATAATTGAGTATTTGTCTAAAAAAGTACAGAAAAAATGTAAATTGCTAAAGAAGCTGAAAATTTTCATTAACTTTTCAATATCGTCTATTTCCTCCTCATGCCTTAATTACATCTCAAAGACGCCTAGGCATACTTTGTACTAGTCTGGAAATGTCTCTTTGCTAGAGGTTAGCCCATTCTTCACAACGAGTACTTCCAAGATCGTGGAGTGTATCAGGAAGTGATGGACGTGCTCTTATTCGTCTTTTGAGGTTATCCCATAAATGTTCGATGGGGTTCAATTCTGGAGAACGGGCTGGCCAGGCTAAGACCATGATGTTATAGTGTAGAAAGTACGTTTGTACTATGCGAGCAACCTGTGGATAGGCATTATCGTGCGTTAGAATAGGATTGGCCCTGATTTCATCGAGGAAAGGCAACGCATGACTTTCCAAAATTTCAACCACACATTGGCAATTAAAGACCCTTCACGAACAACAACCAACTCTGTGCGACTCTCCATTGAAATTCACGCCCACTCCATCACTGAGCTACGTTGATAAGGTTGACTTTTGGAAAAATTATAGGCTTCGTACCTTTCGTTTCTTCTTCTACACACAGTAAAGTGCCGGTTTCGCAAAATTCTCAACGTCAAAAAACGGTCGTCCTGTGGTTCTGTCACTCTAAGGCGTCCAGAACCAGGCCTTCTATGGTAGGACCCAGTTTCTATAAAACATCTAACGTCGTCTGGCAGATTTTCGTAGGGTACTCCGATGGCATTAGCCACATACCTGATGGAACGTCCATCATCAGTAAGAGCCCACCACTAAGTAGCATTTCTAAATATAAAAATTAAAATTAAGAAAACAAAGATGAAAACTAAACAGTTTATTACTACAGATTGCAAATGAGAGTGAATAAATATTTGAAATTCCGTAAAAATTAAAAACTGAAAAATTCTTTATTCTTCTTTTGGATTAATGATTAAGTATGTTTATGTCTAATTGATATTCCCAATTTAAAACATAGCATAAACAAATATTTATTGACAAAAACAATGATACAAAGTAAGGGATGATTTTCTTTTATCTTTTCTTTTATCGAGAAAATGAAAATAAAAATCAGTTGCAGGAATTTTTTGCCTGTGTGTCACTAAATACAAGTGATATTATGTTCAGATTACAGTCGTACATCATCACTGAATTAGTAATTATTTATGAAAAATAAAAATTACTAAACCTATAAGTGCTGTAGATAAATAATAGTACACAATTTCATTAATACTGATTTGGCTAATTTTTCGTAAAGTTGTAACTATGTAACGTCAAAATTTGTGTAACTATTTCTTTTATAAATGTTAACAAAGATATTAGATAGAAAACATTCTTTCGGAAACGAATCAAGTTTGCAATTTAGTATGAATAAGGTGTTATTTATATCTGCTTGTAATAAAAAGTGACAAATTTAAAAATACAAGAGTAATAATTGTACCCAATATAATGAAATATTGCCATTTTTTATAGTAAATTATCCAATTAATGCACTTGAAAAATGAACAAAAGTGGGTTATTTGGAGTAGGTGGTCTTGAGTAGTTTGATCTAATCAGTTATTACCTATCAGTGTAAATTACAAGTCTTTCCCCAGGCATGAGGACGCTATTGATTTTTGTCTGGCCGCTTATGGCATCTGCCGTCATTAAGTAAGTTTTATAACATCGATATTTACCAAGTTTTGATATTTTTAATATATACGTCCCGAGATTTTTTAGCATTAGTTTATCATAACGCATCATGTTCATTGTCGTTCGGGTCGATTTATGGTTATTAATATTATTTTTTTAATTAATCATTCTTCCTTCTTGAGGCGTACTTTTACGTACTTAATATTTTATGATTATGAAAATAATGTATTTTTTCAAATAAAATTATGCTATAATAATAATGGTAATAAATTCTAAAGCATGACCGTATGGTATCGTATTTTTGGTTAATTTTGTACCTGTATTGGTATAAAACTTAAAATTTTAGTAAGGTATAAAATATTTAAGGGTTACATTTATGTTCGTTTATTACTATTCACTCTAAAACGATAAACGATCACAACGAAATAACCTATTGTAATTAAGTGACAAATAATGATGTGACACGTAAGATAAAAATACATGTAGTGTTGGTTTTTTAAAACAGAACTGATAACGGAATGATATTTTCTTACTGTTAACCTTTCCAATTTTCAATGTTTATTTCAACAGTTTATGTTAAAAAAGTGGGTTATATTTTTCGGTATTACCTTTTAAGTTTGACCACTGAAGAATATTGTTTTTTTTTTTTTTTTTTTTTTTTTTTTTTTTTTTTTTTTTTTTTTTTTTTTTTTTTTTTTTTTTTTTTTTTTTTTTTTTTTTTTTTTTTTTTCTTTAACGTTTAGTTTACCCAAATCGACCAATCACTAGTTTTCAATTTCAATTTCGCTGGTAATAGACAAGTTAAATCGTGAATAACAACAAATAAATGACGGTATACTCTTTCATCGTTAACATAATATTGATTTATAGTAAAACGGTTTTTGAATCTCCTTCGTGAAATATAAATAATCGAGAAACAGATTTCGTTCTTTGCTATGTTTAGAGAAAATCATAATAATATGCTCAAGATTTTACATTTCTTTATATGATTCGTACAATTTGTCTCTTCGCTGTTCGATTTTCTCCACATATGCCATTCGACCTAAGACATTAATGAAGCAATGTCTTTTTAAAATTTGGATTCCGTGAAATCGTGGTTTGTACTTTAATCAAGTGTGGATATAAATGAGAAAATCCCTAGCAGCCACAACTATATTTAAGCCATTTTGTCTTCATTTTAAAAACTAATATTGATTTTGGCATCTTGGAAGGCTTTAATCGCGTCACCTTCTCAAATAGCCCGTTTCGCCAGAACATCAACCATGAAGTTCCTCCTCAATGAATTTACCCCTAAAAACTAAATGATTTATATCAGATCTAAAATTACGGTTTTCCAAGCTCTGTAACGATCTCTTTGAATTCAACAGTGCTAATATCCTTCCATAATTGACTTCGTTATCAAGCACAAGTGCTTTGAGAATACCAAAGAGTTCAGCTGAATAAATGCTGTACTTAGGAGGAAGCATATACATGCCGTTCTTATTTCTTGGTTGGTCCAACCATGGGCATCCCTCTCCGTCATTGGATTTTGAGCCGTCTGTGAAAATAAAATAAAGAGTTAGACTTATTGTCAGACATATAGACATATAGATGCTACTAAGAAAAACTGAATTCAAATATGAAATAGTCCTACTGTAGAATAATGCACAATTTACTTAATAAGCGCCATATTCTATTTCGAAACTTGGTCTAATCATTGTTTTTCTACTGGGAAACATTAAAATTAACTATCTCTAAGTATGGATTTATTAAGCTATTTGCTTTCCCAGAATTTTTACTTCAAGACTTTTGTTTGTTATATTGTTGACATTAATTTTGATCTAAAGTTTGATGCAAGCAGTTCGATACTAATATGTAGAAGGGCTTCACAACTTTCCATCTTTATAACCTTACTGGAGTGTTAGAAAAGCAAGCCAAACAATTCCTTAAACACTTATAACTAAATAATTTAGATTTGTTTATGTGGACATTACTCACACTATCGTAAAAAATTGACCCAAAATTTGTAATATGTTCTGGCCAACATTCTAACTTTTAGCAGAAAATGTTTTTTATATTAAAATGTTGGTCGCGCAATGGCGTTATCAGACGTGTTTTGTTTCGCTCTACAAAAGTTTCTCTTTTCGATGGTTTATCCTACGAAAATTGATCTGAAACTNAAAAAAAAATATATTAAAATGTTAACTTAGCTTTCCCATTATGCTGATGATGATCTAAATTATTTTTCCATGGAAGCTTACGATTCAGAATTAAGCCCAAGAACATAACAGACATAAAGAAAAATCGTACACCCCTAACACAACAAAGTTACCCTCGTCCTCCTCCCAGAGAATGGAAATATAAAAACACATAATTAGTTCCGTAAATAATTTTGAGTTTTGGACAAATAGAAGTTTTTCTGAAAAAACGTATTTTATAAATATTATTATTACATATTTATATCTGTTCAAAAAATATATATTGAGCAAGTACATGCACATATACAAATTCAAATAATCCATCAGACCATGAGGGAGTGAGATGAGAAGCCTACCAGTGCTGGAACTCTCTTATATTTAGTTGGGACAAGGGTGGTCATGGTAGAAGGTCACGAGGCCATTGACTTTAGCTAATAGACCTATCCACGCTTCACCAGTCGCTCAGACGCACAGTGAGTATAGGCAGTTCAAAATAACGACCAAATTTTAGGTTAATGACCTCGCAGATTGCATTGAGAAATCTCTAAATAAAATATAAAGGTTTAATTAGTAACCTTAATCAGGCATTGGTGTAAGCTTTGTTTTAACAGTAAGCCAAATTGTAAGCTCGAGTATAACAAATTTAACTATCAGAGTTACATTTACTTGCGTTACTTATACCAAGCAACCAAAAGGTTCGTGCGTGTTTAAAGATGAACAATTTAATAATTGTCACGATTACAATTAGTTTATAGATATTTTATTCGGGGAAATAGTCTCCATCCGCACCTGTACCCTTTGCTCAACAAGTTACTAGCCCAGTAACCTTCTTGAGCCCCTTCTTATTGGGATCCCGGGACTTAGAAAATAAGTTCACTTCATTTTCCAGTTGTTGGCGAACATCAAATTACCGAATAGTTTGCAATATATGATTATCTATTGCTAAGAAAAGATGAAACCAGATGGGTACGCTAGGACCATAGAGGGTGTGGTAGGACTTCGAGCTAATCAAGCTTTATTATCACTTCCTTTGTTGTTCTGCCTGTATGACGTCTCGCGTAGTCCTGGTGAAAAACAAACCATTTCTTTTCACGTGAGTCAGTGTGTGCAGAGATACTTGTTGCACTTCGCTTGAGTAAATTTCTGCAGTGTTGGCCCGGCAATGTGGCAGGAATTGGTAGTGCACAATGCCTGCCCAACTCCAGCAAATCACCAAATATCACCTTTTGGTGAATATTTGTTGAAGTAATGACCAGAGTCATTTGGCTACAGTCAAATGTTACGACCACGTGGTGTTACCGTACAAGATTCATTTTTCGCCGGTTGTCACAATACCGTCAAAAACGTTTCAACTTTGCATCCTGAAAGTAATGAAATGGAAATGTTTGATGCTGAAAATTGTTACCGCTCAATTTTTGAGGAACCCGTTTCCTGTTCTACTTCTTCCCACGTCGATGTAAGCTAGAGCGAATAGTTTGATCGTTTACGTTGAACACTCTGGCAAGCTTCTGACATGTTTGACTAGAATCAAGTTTGATAGCTTTCCTCAGTTCATCGTCATTCAAGACAAGTGTAGGCCGTGGTTCATCATTAATCCCCTCGTTCCTCGAACCAACTTTTTCAACCACTTTTGGGCAAAGCGCTCACTTAACGCAGTGAAATGTTAACGAGTACCTTCGGCCGCCCTAGTACCTAGCATAAATTCATACAATAAGCACGCATGAATTATGGGTTTTGAAGCCAAGAAAATGAAAATATTTTATAATTTACAGTCAATTGTCCAAGACAATTTTTGTATATGTATTGACTAATTATTCTCTTGGTAATACGTGATGTAAACATCTAATCCTCGTAAGCAAATAGAAATGTTGATTAACGGTAAAAAGACAATAGCAAACGAAAAACCGTACGAACGTTTCTGGTTATTAATTTCTGAATGAATACTTCGTTTTTGATGGTGTTTGAAGATAAAGATCTATAATACGGTGGACACAGTGTTAGTGATATCAGAATTTTTATTAATGACAGTACGTATACAGTCAACATATTCGAGTTGAAAATAAAATAAATTCTTCTGTCACAGCCACTATTTGTTTTAGTCTTTTCTGAACATTCGAGTTCAGTGTCAAATGCCTTTCTTCACCTCTTCATCTTCAGTGATGTGTTTGAAGGTAAAACTTAAAGATTGGATAATACCAAAATACCAAACTTTACCCCACAGACTTCAAAAAATTTCATAATTTGTTTTAGAGTCCCATTGAAGAGAGGCCTAAAGAATGGATACGAAAATCACGCCTTACTGTACAACCAGAAATTCCAAATCATAACAAGTTCAGTCAATTTAGGCAACTTTATGAATGTGGGTACATTGACAATGTATCAATCAGAACTTATAATAATGAGATTTTTTTTCTAGATGCAGTATTATGGTGATGTATGCATAGGAACGCCTCCTCAATTGTTTTCCGTCATTTTCGATACGGGATCCTCTCTACTTTGGGTGCCTTCAAATAGCTGCGATTCGCCTGCTTGCCGTAAGTCTCACATCTGTTTCCATAATCACACAGATTAAATATAAAGCTTTTTTTGTATTTTCAGTGAAATCGAGGAGGTTCGTCAGACGGAATTCGAAGACTTACGAACCTTTAGACAAGATCGTTTCTGTTTTTTACTTAAAGAGTTCAGTGAAGGGTCTCCTCGCCAGGGAGCAAATCCAAGTCGGGCAAAGAATTAAATTAGAAAATAAGGAGATGTTTATGTTAAGCAAAGGCATTTTTAGTTAGGTGGAGTCAGCTATAAAGGGATATTCGCCGAAGCTATCCAAGAGCCTGGTGAAGGCTTTCTTGGTGCACATTTTGACGGCATCATGGGTATGAGTTTACCTGAGCAGGACCAATACAGCATCTTGAGTGTCATGGTTCAGCAAAACCTTGTGAAAAGGAAAATAATTTCATTTTATCTGAAGAGGTATACTTCACCCACATAAGCATTTCTATGGATTATGTGGTGTTTAGTGGTCGTTAGTTAATGATTATTCGGAGATGCTAGAAAATATTAAATAAAAAAATGAATTTATACATGGCTAGAAAATTTTAGATTAAAAAAAATAAAATCTAAAATTTTCTAACATTGTATAATTCATTTTTTTAATCTAAAATTTTCTAGTATTGTACAAATTCATTTTTTTACATCCTACATATATGTAAAATTTAAACAATGTTTATAAATCCCAGGCCCTGAAGATGATCTCAATAAAGATCGAAACGTTGCCACGATAAAGAAAATGTTTTTCTAATACCTACATCACATCAGACCGCGTCTCACGATCTCCGAATAATCTATGGATTATATTAAGCAGAATCTGCATAATTTTTATACGTGGAATAAAAACATTGTTAATAAATAATTTAGTTCTAACGAATTGATATTTACTTAGACCTTTACAATTATTACTTTGTTAATACGTATTTTTCAGAAATTTAACGGAAAACCAAGGAGGTTTAATGATGATAGGAGGATGGGATGAAAATTACTTTTCTGCAAATAATATATCATATATACCAGTCAATCAAAACGCAACAAAGTGGGAATTCACGCTTGACAAGTAGGTTTTATAGTAAGCATTCAACAAAATATATGAAATCATGTTTGATGATTACTACAATTATTTGTAACGTTTATGTTATTATTTTTTAAGAAGTAAATATACATCTAATATTTCAGTGTGAGAGTGAAAAACATTACGCTCAGTTGTAACAGATGCGTGGCTATAGCAGACACAGGGAGTTCGGTAATATTCGGCCCACCTAAAGACATTATAAAGATACAGCAGACGCTCGGAATCAACCAGGAAGGTTTTGTAAGTATGCAAATGTTCAAATCGTGGTATGTCTTTTTTTTACGTTATTTTTCTAGATTGATTGTAAGATAAGAGAAAAACTGGAAGCTGTTCACTTTGTCATCGGCAACAAACTTTATACTTTGAAACCATCGGATTACATAATGCAGGTAAAACATAATTATTATGACAAATGTTTTATTTACAACTCCACTATCCATAACTTTTCTGTAACGATGTAGAAAAGAAAATTTTTGTACGAAGTGCATCTTCTCTAACGTTTTTATTATTATTATTATTATTTTTTTTTTTTATTACAATCTGCAATTATTATTTACAACATGTAATTTGCGGATACATGAACAACTATATATATGTACAACTATTTACATTGAGGGGAGAAAATAGTCAGTGCTATCCTCCCTCTTCACTGTTTTTTTTTTTTTTCAGTTCACTCGGAAAGGAGGTCGCGGGGCCATTTCCTCTTAAGACGCCTTATAGGGTTGTAGGGATGGGTTCTATCGGACAGGGCTTGGGCAAGACTATTTGGATGGTGGGAAAGTTTTTTGTGAAAAGTGGTAAATTTTTGGGGAATAAATTTTTGGATATAAGGAATTTGAAGGTCGTTGTGGAGGGTAGCATTGGAGACATAATAAGGAGCATTTACAATGGATCTGAGGACTTTAGATTGAAACGATTGGAGGCGTTGGATATTGGAAGGTTTAGCGGTTCCCCACAGTTCTATCCCGTACGTCCAAATCGGTTGTAGTAGTGTTTCGTAAATAGTAAGTTTGTTTTTTGTCGATAGTTTAGACTGTCGTCCTATAAGTCTGTGCAGTAGACCATACCGTCTGTTTAAGTTTTGTCGTGTCAGTCGTGTATGTTGATTCCACGTTAGTCGTGAGTCTAGGGAGTGCCAAGCCAGCCGTTGTATTGAGAGGTAGTGTTCAATACAGCTCGTACAAATCGTCTTGTTTTGAAACGTTATTAGAGACATTTCGGTGCAAAAGTGCACACTGTGTGGGCCAAAGCACCTAAGAGGATTCTCCCGAATTTTCGAAGGACTTGGTCAAAGGACTTGGTGATATCAAGCAAGTGAGTGGACTTACTTTAGTTAATAGGTGATCGGACAGGAAACCTGCCTGTTTCGGGCCCATCGCCACGATCCCCCACCACTTTTCTACTTTATCAGCCACAACAAATGACAACAAACAAATCAACAGTGTAGCTCTAACGTTTTATGTTTAAATTTATCTCTTAATTTATAATTTATCAATTGATCTTTTTAACTATAATTATAGGGAAGAAATATTTTTTTAAAGGAAAAAGCAAAAACAAGTTTTTTTCTTCTCGATAACTATAGTGAAAACGATTATTCGGAGATGGTGAGATGCGGTCTTTTGTGACGTACATAAAACATTTTCGTTATCATGCCAACGTTTCGATCTTTATTGATATCATCTTCAGGGCCTGGGATTTAGAAACATTGTTTAAATTTTAGAAATGCATGTAGGAGGTGAGAAAAAATTAATTTATACAAAAAAAATCTTTATATTCAATCAAAGTATTTGAACTTACTCATACAATGCTAGAAAATTTTAGATTAAAAATGAATTTTTACAATGTAGAAATTTTTAAAATGTAAAGTATTTTTACTCACTGGAAAACAAACACTTTGAATGAGTAAAAATACTTTGATTGAATCTAAAATTTTCTAGCATTGTATAAATTCATTTTTTCTTTCTTTTAATCTAAACTTTCTAGCATTGTATAAATTCGTAGTTTTTTCTCACCTCCTACATGTATTGGTAAAATTTAAACAATGTTTATAAATCCCAGGTCCTGAAGATGATCTCAATAAAGATCAAAACGTTGGCTCGATAAAGAAAATGTTTTTCTAAACGTACGTCACACCAGAACGCATCTCACGATCTCCGAATAATAATTGACTAACGGTCACTAAACACCACACATTTCTATAGTGAAATGGTGAATTGAGAAATTTTAGCTTGGCCGTTAATAATCATTTCAGTCTGCTGTGAGTTTTGAACTTATCTGTCCAGCACCCAGGTTGGTCTCCAGTTAAACCACTTCAGCCCACAACGCATGCAGTTACTACATCAATATCCGTTTAAACTAACACTTAAATAGATTCCTTCTTACTTCTATATCATTGTCAGTTAGAATTGAGTATGCTCAAGCTTAATTTTCATATCGGGTGGCATTCCTACGCGCTCCCTATAGGAAAGCTTTTGGATCTTCCCAGGCCACCCTGCCGCCGATTATGATTACCGTCCCCTATGTCATCCTTGCCCTCCATAAGCCTACCCACGGGTCACGTCCGGGTACAAATCGTTCGAATATTCTGCTTTACTGGCATCTAAGTATCGCCAAAACGGATGTCCGGTCACATTGCTGATGATAAGCTACTCTCCCCAAAGCACGGGAAGCAGGGCTCCGAGCGAACGAAACAAGTCTGATAGACAAAAATAGCGAGTTTGAGTTTAAATAAAAGGAGGGAAAATTCGAAAGGTAGGTTGTGAGGGAATGTTGGTGTCCGAGGGGATCGAAGTCACGTCAAAGTCACGATACTTCAAGTGGTAGAGCAGCGGTGTATTTAGCAAGAGGTCGTGGATTCTAATCCCGCTCGTGACACTAACGTTTTCATTTCAACCAATGCCTTACATAAAGATTAATTAAACTTATTATTCTTTTCCAACTGTGTGTTTATTCAAACCCAAACAATTACCAAATGGAAAAACTTAAGAAGTTTATTCAAACCCAAACTAGTCTGAAAAACATAAACAATAAAAAGCATAATAATCTAAAAAACAGCAAGGAAATGAAGACCGATATGATTGAAAACGACTAAACTCCAGGTTTAACACACCCAGTGGAGACGACATAGGATTTTTTTTACGAGGGTTCGCAACAGCAGAGGTCATATAAAACCTCAGGATGCCGGTGTTATTGAAAAAAAAGCCCATTTATAAGTATGTCGGGTTCGAATGCAGGGCCGCTGGATTCGAAACCGGGGGACCTTTACGTTTCAGTGTTGAGCTCCGTGTTAACGCCTAAATCGTTGCGCCCCTACAGGAGTTTTGTTACATATAAGTAATAATTATATTCCCGTCATAATTGTTGTTGAATCAGTTTGTTATTAAAATTTTGTTTTTATTACCATATATTTGTACTCTTTACGAAAAAACAATGTTAAAACCAAAACTTTTAATATAATTTTAAAACAATTACAAATCCAACAATATTAGGTTTTTCAATAGATAACTAATAACATTATCCAGAAAATAAATATGTCTGTTTTTTTACGATCATTGAACCACAATTTATTTTCGTATTGATTTTTGTTGTTATTGATTATCATGTCTGTTTAGATTTCACCGCAGGTCTGTATATCTGTGTTCTTCGAAATGCCTAGACCAATAGGTGGAATCATGTGGATTCTTGGAGATGCTTTTTTGGCAAAATTCTACACCATATTCGACTTTGAACAAAAGAGAATTGCTTTTGCTACTCTTAAGACGAAGTAAGTTTAATCGATTTATATTTTATTTTGACGTGAACGACTCAAATGAAATCAAACATCAGACGTAATCTCGAATTTTAGAAATTATAAGTTGTTAAAAATGTTATAATTCGGACGTTGTTACACGCTCATGTTATTTATGTAGATAATTTCATTATTTATTTTTGTCAAGGAATGACGCTGGACAGTAACCTTACTTGACGTTTCATAGTACCACCACTGATACAATATATTCCCAAGATTAGCACAGCATAGAGAAATGTATGTTTTATAAGTTTAAATTAACAAATAATAGTAAAATAAAAATTTATTTCACATGGAGTGATGGCCAAGTCATTCTAATTTCATTATTTGAAACGCTAGCAATTCTGGGTTCGAATCCCGGCATAGTACATGAAATTTTATTTTATATTAATTTCGGAAAAGTATAGTACAGACGTTCAAATATTCGCCTCGATACACAATGCGTAATTAGACGTTAATTCCTCCTTTTTGACAGTAACTGCTCTACTTAATTTTAATTAATATAATGTATTTAATTTCCCAATTACTGGAATGAATCAAATTGGCTATTCGTAAGAATTTTTATTAAATATTTACTTTCTAAATATGTTTTTTGTTCTAGTGTTCCTCATCAAATAGAAAAGGACGGAAATGTGTATTGCGGCCTGGGATCTTCTAATACTTTAAACAGTTTCCTTTTGTTCAGTTTATTTTTAACACAGTTTTTATCAATTTCAATTTAGGTTCATATATTTACATATGCTTTAATTTATATACGGTTAAATTATTTTAATTGAATATCTACAGAAATAAATGTATATTTGATTTTTCTTGTATAAATTAAATACAAACATTATATCTAATGTATATATAAAATATTTTTTATTTATTATTTAAATTACAATAAATCTGATTATCGTTTATTCAATTAATATTATCTTTCAATGTTATAATTTTAAAGTTGAAATCCGAAATCAGGCCAATAGAAAGTACCAAATGCAAGGAAGTACGATTAGTTATAAAGGAACATTATGTAGGATTGAGGGCTTTAAAACTAAATATTAATAATAATTTTCAATATGTATTAGCAAATATGAATGAATTCATAATAATGAAAAATTGTTTTCATGGAAAATCAGGTTAACGCATTTACAGTGAACCGGATTAAATATTTTTCCATCATGTGTCTGGAGTACAGAAATCGAAAGCTCGACGAAGGAATTGAGGAACTTTCGGACCGTCTCGCGTAAGTGTCCGGCTGGCATATAAAAGTTACTAGATATTTCTTACCTAATCAAGCATTACAATTCCATATAGAGAGCGCGTAGGAATGCCAACCGATATGACAATTGTGTTTGAGCCCTTGACCAATTCTTGGAGGAAACAGGGTGGTTTTATTACATATATTATTGATATTTTTGTTTTCTTTGCACAAGCTGAGAAGGAATGTATTTATTAGCGTGAAGTCTGAAGTTGTAGTGAGAGGGCCGATGGCCAAATATCGAGCACCCATCGACAATCAATTAGGTTGGTTATAAATAGGTGTAACGAATATCGTGTACTCCACCACCATAACCGAGTAAATGGTACATAAATGAGAAAGAATGTATTTATGAGTGAGTGAGAGTATGAATGGGTTTGGGAACTGATTGCTTAGGAAGCCGAAATGACCTAGTTGTTGATAGTTGATGTTGGTGCGGTGTGAAGTTTAGTATCTTGAACTATTCATGTTCATAACGCATTCATATGGATGGTACTTTTATTACTAGGGTGGTTAATTAAACGTATCTGGATTATTCAATAAAAGGTACTTAATTCTACCAGCACCCATCCGATTTTTCATACTTAATTTTCGAGTCTTAATGAAGCATAAAGTTTTTCTTATGCCGGCGCGACTCTGCATTTCTACTTTTCTTGCTTTTTTGTATTCTCATCTATAGTCGGCATTGTGAAGAAACCTCTTTCAATAAATATTTTACCAAAACACACACACACACACACACACACACACACACACACACACAGACAGAGAATATAAAAACCTATTCTAAACCTAACCTAACTAATAAGAGTTTTGCGGAGTACTCAATATTCCGCCGCAGTGGCTAACTTAGTATGAACTTACGAAAATTAATGCATACTTACCAATAGAACTTTTATTTTTACAACTATCTAATTACTTATCTATAAAGAACTAAAGAAAGTAAAACAGTCCCGTTTCATGTAAAAGTCGGGACAGTGGAACCAGATACTCGTTGCCATGCTCAAGCACAATTCTCATATCGGGCGGGGGGCATTATTATGCGCTCTCTATAAGGAGCCAAGGAATGGTACTCTTCAGTTAGGTGGGACACACCAAGCAATCTTTTTCTACATGCCGGACACATCTAATGTATAATGTAAGTGTTCGTGTGTCAACCTTGCATGACATTTTCTTAATCGGGTGGGGATGCCCCTTCACCCCTAGGTCCCCAATGGGCCATCTATCGACAGAGCTCTTGAGAGAGCTTATCCGCATTCCATCCCACCGACGCTTCGAATTTTTTTAAAATCATTTTTTATTGCATTTTAAGCTTCAGAGGGGTAGACCTCAGCAGTTAGGTCCGGAGGTTCAGAATCCCGACAAATCCGTGTCCGGCTGTTCGCTACCTCCCAAACCTGTGTCGAACAACTCCCGTTTTGCCAAGACGATCTGAATTGTGTTATTTCTCCAACAAGAACAGAGCAGGTCTATGCAAGACCTGTCATATATACCAGTTAATGTACAGTCGGTGCAGACAAGTTCAGTCATAGCCAAATCGTCTCAACACTCCAAACGCGTCCATATCGCATACAATTAATATTTTCGCAATATGTATGGTGTTTGTGACCGTTAGTCAATGATTATTCGGAGATCGTGAGATGCGGTCTGGTGTGACGTAGGTTTTAAACAAACATTTTCTTTATCGTGCCAACGTTTCGATTTTTATTGAGATCATCTTCAGGGCCTGGGATTTATAAACATTGTTTGAATTTTACAAATACATGTAAGATGTAAAAAAAAATATAATGAATTTATACAATGCAAGAAAATTTTATAAATTAGTATTTAATAATTAATAACGAAAACTAGGGTGACTATTTTATCACTGATTTGGAACGTTTCATTCTTAAAAGTTTGTTTTGTACAAATTAGTGTTTATAATAATTACATGCACATATATTTGCCCATACAAAAGTTGTATAGTTAATTATGGCCTTCATACATAATTCAAAACTGAGATTTTTGTATTTAAATGGGATATTTCGTTGAGGATAGGAAATATGAAATGCTAGTAAATAAGTAAATATTGTATAATAAATAATAAAATTACAATAATTAGATTACGAAAGCCTGTACAAGTAATTATTCAAATAAGCCTGCCTTGTAGTCATTGAAACAGCAAAAATTGGCGCTTTTGATAAAAAACGTTAGATAATTTACGAAGGTATTCAATAAACCTTCATTACTGAAACATGAACAGGCTGTTTAGCAACAAGCTGCTTTCCGATTTGTCGGCACGTTTGAAATGAATACGAGCCTGGTAATTGGAAAGGACAGAGAAAAAACACGGCATAAACTGAGTTATTAAATGGGGAGGGATATATGCAGTGAATAGGGAACACATGTCGAGGCTATTAGCACCCTGCAAATGTGTTTTTGCGGTCTGCGTCTGCTCGTCATTCACAACTGCGCCTTCGACCTACGATCCGACTTTTGGATTATCATTTTAAAATAATTAAAAAACTTTGCGTTAATTTAAATTCAGATGGCGAAAAAACTGATTTAATTATTTAAATTGAAAAGATTAGTGATATATATAAATAACTTGTTTTAGCATTAAAGAGACAATTGTGTCAAGTTCGTAACAAAATATGTTATGCATTATTATTTAACCGGGTATTCCACCAAAATTATAATACCTCTTGAACTAAAGTTGACAGTGTGTCAAACTCAAATTAATACGGCTTAGCATTAGTGTAGGTGAGTGAGCCTGTACAGAGGACTAGGAAGACAAATGGGACGGTGTGCGACGAGACGTATATCTCTACGGCACGGCCGGATCTTTAGAAAATAATCAATTCCTTCATCGACTAAGACGACAGCGGACCCACCCAAATTTGGAGAAAGTGATCCACATCTTCCTGGAAGCGGGGATTTTCAACATCGCCGGAATCAAGAATGGTAGACGGGTAGCAAAGTTTAGTAATAAAAGTTTATGTTAATTTTAAGATGTTTTATTTAATCCGTGAGTTTGTTCTCATTTTGTAATAGTGTTACTCATAGGAAATTAAGTTATCCATGCTTTGTAAGTTAGTTTCCTTAGTAATTAATGTGTCTTTTTTTAGTATATAAATATTGTTCGTATATTTTGAGTATATATTTAATTGGAATTTGTTAATTATCCGGTTTAATTGACTGAAAAATTATGAAGTGTGAGAGGTTGACATACTAGCCTGCTAAGTTGTTGGGGAGACACACCTAGCCCTGACTTACTGGTTAAGTTTACAATAACTCTTTATTTAATCCATTATATTTCGTGGTCCGATGGACCAAATAACTACTTTCAATTAATTAATCTTTATGTAAGATTTTGGTTGAGTTAAAAAAGTCAGTGTGACGAGCGGGATTCGAACCCACGACTTTCGGATAAATACGCCGCTGCTCTACCACTTGATCTATCCTGACTTCGATCCACTCAGACAGCAATTTTCCCTCCTTCTGCCATTTTTAAAATGTCGTGTAATCAGGATTCGATTCTCGGCGACAAATGAAGAGCTGATAATTGGAACGTCGCGTTGGCGGAGGTATCAGCGGTTCACTTTGGCAATTCATGTCGAGAGACGTGGTTGTAGAAGTCCTTCCACCCACCCTGGGAGTCATGGCCCACTTTATGTGGAACCACGGCGACGACGGGTGGTATAATGTGGATGAGACTCGAGACCCCGAAACGGCTCACCTCGTGTTCTCTTCCACGGCCCTGTTTCTCAATCCGAATTCCATCATTCTATCCTGTGATCCTAACCCATGGTTACAAGGGGGGTATCCGGGCACAAAATAATGGTGTAGCCTAGAGGGCGTGGCAACCTCTCTAAAGCACAAGCTGTCTTATGTCGGCCTCAGGGTCGGCAGGGACGTCGGGTGTCTTAGCAGAGTCACACGTGGGCCAGTGCACCAGATCCTGTCTGCAAAGACGGGGGAGGGTTGTATGGCCATCTGTACCACGGGGTGACAGAAATGTTCCAGAATCCTGCCCTCTGTCACATTGGGAACGGATTCGTGGTGGCTTGTGGTGACGCCCCTGGCGGGAACTTAGACAGAGGCTGTCTTCTATCTGGGACCTTTCGTGAAGCTTGCGCATGGCCAGCGTATTACCCCCCGTTCCTCACGGGAGACTTTGCGACCGGACGACAGCATGTAAGCGTTGAGGACGTCATGATCATGCTACAGTCCCTGGGTGCGTGAGTAAGCGATTGGAAAAGGGTAATGCAATCGGCGGTCTTTGACTCGAGTATGCTTTGCATTGTTGTGCGTATGACCGGCGTGGTACCCTTGGGGAAGGGAAGGATCGGACCACCTAGGCTAGACCTATGGCGTCCCTCGATTACGTGCAGCAGGTGTAGGCTGAGCTCGATAAGAGACCTTTGACCGTAGACAGTGCTCATCTAGGGGGTGGGTAGCAATCCCACTTTATAATCCGAAACCGCTGTCGGGGCGTTCCCGAAAGTTTTTACGCTGGAGGAGCCTCTACAC